GGGGGCCAGACCTGGGGAAAGGGCGATGGAGGGGGGGGGGGATCGGCCAAGAAATCCCCGTATCACCCCTCTGGCCACAGCCCGGGTGCCCCGGAGCCGGCAGCGCCCAGCACAGGGCCATGCCCCACTCTTGGTGACCAGGCAGAGCCCTACCGAAGATGGAGGAGCCGCGCAGGGTGTAGCCGCCAAAGGAGAAGACATGCGAGTGGTCAGCGGTGACGACAGTGAGGGTCTGCGCCTCGTCTGTCAGCACGCCTGCCCGCTTGATGGCCCGGTCAAATTCCACTGCCTCCGTCAGCGCCTTATGGGCTGCACCTTCATGGTGGCCGTGGTCGATTCTGCCGCCTGCAGATGGGCACCCACAGTGGGCTGGGGATCGCTGGCAGCACCCCCAACTCTTAGCCCCACCCCAGAATATGGGACCCCCCTCTCGCCCGCCCCAGGGACACCAGCCCCGACTTATCTTCCACAAAGAGGTAGAAGCCGTTGGGGTTCTTGCTCAGGATGGTGATGGCCACCTCCATCATCTCGGTGAGCGATGGGTCCGTGGTGGTGTTACGCACCAGGTTGTACTTCATGTCCGCCGGTTCAAAGAGACCTGGGAGGGGATGCATTGGGGACAGCCTCAGTGCCTGCACGCATCCCGGTGGCTGCCAGGTCCTGGCGCATAGGACATTTGTTACCCATCAGATAATTCACGCTGGGGTCAGCGGCGGCAGCCAGCATCTCCGTCCTGTTCCAGACGTAGCGGGCACCCTGCGGGCAAATCCCACAGGGGGTTAGTGGGTTCCTGGCCCCGTGCCCGGGGACGGTGCGCAGAGGGCTGTCCCTGCCGTGTCACCCACCGGCCGTGCCTCCAGCCACAGGTTGATGAGGTTTTTCTTATCGTTGCGTATCCCACCCTCTGTGCTGTAGGTGGGATACTCGGGGTCCGGTGTCCCCCGGGGGGTCATGTATTTCCGACCACCCCCCAAGATCACCTGGTGGGGACGAGACAGATGCAGCGTTAGCAGGGGTGCCCAGGGGGGTCTGCTCTTGCTTCCCCCCTCCATCATGCACGGATGCTCACATTGATGTCGACGTTGTGGACCAGCTGCCAGGCGATGTCCTTGCAGCCCTGGAGGTGGGCGTCTGTGGGCATGTTGGCATCCGCGTACCAGTTGCGGTTCACAACGTGGGCGTAGGTCCCCGAGGGTGATGCGTGCTGCACCCGTGTTGTCGTCACGATGCCCACTGCCTTCCCTGTCGCCCCCCCACCCATCAGGTCCCACGAAAGACGACCGGCGGGGGCACGGGGTCCCCCACCATTGAGCCCCGGGATGCTCGTGGGGGGGCAGCCCATGGCTTGATGCCCCTTGTCCCCGCAGGGTCCCCCCGAGAAAAAACCCCCGTTGCCGGCTTTGCGGGCTCGCTCCAGCACTGAGATCACTTCGTTGCCCACCGTGGTGTTGCACTGTGAGAAGCGGGCGGCCGCGCTCAGCCCCACCGTCTGGTGGTTGCCCTTCACGCCGCAGAGGTAGGCTGTGGCTGTCCCCGCACTGTCGGGGGCCTGCCGGTCCACGTTGTACGTCTGCCAAGAGACATGCGCCAGGCTCAGGGCAGGGGGCAGCTGGACAGAGGCACCTGGCAGGTTGCTCCCCCCCAGCACCCCCTTGCCACGCTCACTAGCATGCCTGAGGGCAAGTGTGGGACAGGCAGGGACCCCGTGCAACCTGTATGCGCACCCCCAGGGTGCTTCTGTGCCAGCAACCCCATGGGCATCACTCTGGCCCCATGCCCAGCATCACCCTGGCCCCGTGCCCAGCGTGGTGGGGATTTACCTTGGAGAGAGCCACGTAAGGGAAAGCATCCAGGGCGAGGGGGGTCTCGGGGCCCAGCTTCCCCTGCTCCTGCCCCTTTAGGATGCGGGTGGCCGTGCTGGTGGGGATCCCGAATAAAAAAATCTTGGTCACCCTCTGGCCTGGCTCCCCTCCCCGCATCCTGCTCGGCAGGGCACTGGCCGTGCCAGCCTGCCCACCGGGTGTGCCAGCGGGACTCACCATCCCCGAGGAAGAGGATGAGGTTTTTGGCTTGGCTTATTCTGGGCTGCATCTTGAAGGCGGCCTCGATGGCTGCAGCTGCCTGCTTGTTCCAGAAGGATGGCTTCTCCTCCTCCGCTGGGACAGGACAGCACCTGTCAGTCCCAGCTTGCCAGCACCCACATCCCTGGGGCACCCGCATCCCTGGGGTACCCACATCCCTGGGGCACCTGCATCCCTGGGGTACCTGCTCCCCGGGCATCCCCATGCTGGGGCCTTCTCTGACATGGACTGAGTGGGTCAGGGTGCTGTTTGGGGTGGGGGAAGGCCATGCGGGCTTGCAGCCACTGCCCAGTCTGAGGGTCCTGGGACAGAGAAGGAGGGGGCAACAAAAAGGGACATGATGGGGGGAACTATCTGGCAGGTGGGATGGAGCCACATCCATGGAGGGGGGGGGTTTACAGGCACCTCCCCCAGCCCCTCAGCCCAGAAGCAAGCAGGAATCTGACCCCACAGCGGAAAACTGGCTTAAGGTCTCCAGAAAAGCAGGGGTAACCCCCATTAACCCTTGCAGAGCCAGGCAGCCCCTGCTCCCCTCCCTCAACCCTCCCTGTGGCCAGCCAGGCTGGTGCCCTGCCGGGGGCCCCATTTCCCCGGGCACCCGCTGCAGCCAGCCAGGCACCCGTCCCCATCCTTGTCCCCACCTGGGATGGCAGCAGTGCTGAGCCCTGCCCAGAGGCCCAGGCAGAGGATGAGGGGTGCCAGGACCTGCATGGTGAGATCCGGTGGCCCAACGCCGCTGTCAGTGTCTCCAACTCTAGCAGATCTGGGGAGGGACTTTGGACCAGGATCAGCCCTCGCAGGGTGTGTGGAGGGGTTCGGCATGTTTCTGATAGCCTGGTGTCCTGCCAGGCAGCTGGCACAAAGGCCATGGGGCTGGGCTGCAGGCAGGTCCCTGACACACCACCTTATTGCTGCCGGGGGATGGATGGACTTGGGGCACAGATGCAGGGGGTGAGGCGATGGGCAGTGCCTGGCAGGCTGTTGCCCACCCTGGCTGCGGTGCTGTGGTGCCAGGCAGGGGGATGCCCTGGCCTGGGGTGCCACAGGCAGCGCTGAACATTGGACCTGGGGCAATAGGGGCATGGGGAGCACCCGGGGTCACTTGTGCACCGAGCAGCCCTGCTCTCTGCCCAGCACTTCCTTGAGCAATAAATCCACTGATCTGGACTAAAACTCTGCTCCTTGCTCAGCCCTTGCTGGGAAGTACCAACCCTTGTGTACTGTGCTCCAGCCTGCAAAAGCTGGAGGGGCCTCCCCTCCACCCTCATTTCATTACCTCCTCCACCCCAATACCTCCAGTGCTGGTCCTGGGGGGGAACTAGGAACCACGACCACCTGGGGAAATTGAGGCACAGGGCAGCACCTTAGGAGGCAACCGCTGCTGCAAATCCTCGCACGGCAGATGGAGACAAACTGTGTTTTATTGCATCCCTTGATCCTGGCCACAGTGCGGACCCGGCTGCCGAGACCCTTGATGGGGTGGCCGGGAGTGGCACGGGCGGGGGGCAGGCAGCCCTGGTTGAAGCGGGGTCGCCGGAGGCTCTCAGCCCCCTACCAAATGGGCAGCCACGCAGATGGTCAGGAGGGTGAGCAGGGTCTGGGGGGAGTGCTGGGTGCCCTGGGAGGCCCTCCGGGCTGCCCTGCACCGGGGCTCAGCGGCGTAGGGCTCGAGGCAGGCAGCGTAGGCCATGGCATGGGCGATGTAGTGCTGCTCCTGCACACCGTGGAAGAGGTGGGCCATGGCGCCCTGGGCCAGCACCACCACATCCTCCCCGCTGTGGGTCTCTGTCTCCAGGGGCACGGCTGCCTGCTGCCTGTAGTCCTTGTCCTCTGCAGGGCGGGCAAGGGAAATGGGGCTGGAGGCAGCAGGCTCCCCTACCCGTCGCAGGGATGGGGGGCAGCTCCCATCACCTCGGTGTCAGGGCAATTCCTGCCCAAGTGACACCTGAGCCACACGGTGGCACGGGGACCCCATGCAGCCCCGGTGGCCATGCCCATGGGATGCTGCCCCCAGCCACCCTGCATCCCCCACCCCATCCCCAGCAGGCTCCTACCCGCGGCAGGGAGGCTGGCGGCTGGG